CACAAACCATAAAATTTCACTCATTCATGGCTAAAAATTATTTTTAAGACTCTTATTTAAAAAAATTTTTAATGTTTATTTTTGAGAGAGAGGGAGAGAGACAGAACACTAGTGGGGGAGGGGCAGAGAGAGAGGGAGACACAGAATCCCAAGCAGGCTCCAGGCTCTGAGCTGTCACCACAGAGCCCGATGTGGGGCCTGAACCCACAAAACCCAAGATCATGACCTGAGCCAAAGTCAGACGCTTAACTGAGACACCCAGACGCCCCTCCAATTTGAGTACACTCTTATTTTTAGTATTTTTTCCCTCTGTTTTAAAAAGCAATGCTTGTTGTGGTACCTGGGGGGGGCTGTGTCAGTTGAGCATTCAACTCTTGATTTTGGCTCAGGTCATGATCCCAGGATCATGGGATTGAGTCCTGCATTGGATTCTATGCCAAGTGTGGAGCCTGCTTAAGATGCTCTCTCTTTCTTCCTCTGTCCCTCTCCCCTGCTTGTGCTCTCACTCCCTCTCTAAAGAAACAAACAAACAAACAATAAAAAGTAAAAAACATATGTCTCCAGCACTTACTTGAGGAAATAAAGAAAAGTTTCAATAAGAAAACAAAAAATCTGCAGTTGCATAGCTGAGGGATAATCAGTTTGGTGGAGATAGAACTCTGATTTAGGGCAGCTTAAGATTATATCATAAAAGAAAGATTTTACTTTGTTTTATTTTCTGTTTTGAGAACTGCACAATGGACCCATCTGGGGTAATGAGATTTGGAATATGAAATTTATCAAAAACCAGTAGAGCCCAGAGACAACAGAAATCTTTGTTCTGCTTTAAATAAGTTCACTGTAGTGATAAGAAATGTTTACCCATAAGAAGAAACTCCTAGGACTTATTTTCTCTCCTTCTGTGATGCCTCCTTGCTCCTGACTATGCCTTGAATTTAGTGTTAACATGTGTTATGCATGGGCGCTGAGATCTCATGTGGACTCTACTGAATGAGAACCACGATGGGAGAGGGGAATGGACAGGGGCTGGAAGAAGCCTTCTCAGGCCAAAGAAGACCCATTGCTGAAACGTTGGGATATACATTTCCTAGATTTTGGGTAGTTTCCTCTTCCTATGTCCTTCAGATTTTAAAGCACAGCAGTGAGCAGCACCAGTACTCCAGGGAGACAAAGATGTGAGGTAGTGTGGGGCCACAGCCCAGGAAAAGACTGGTGCCAGGAGTCCTGCATCAGGTGGAGTAAGGATGTCTTCTCTTACAGAATTTGTTAACTAGAGGGTGACCACAGTCAATATTCCATGATCTTAAAGCTCTCTGTTTTACTCATTCCCCCTTTATGATTTCCTTTTAGTCGTTATAAACTTAAAATCAAAAAAAAAAAAAAAAAAAAAAAAAGATATTTTCGTATACTTTAGGGCTATTTTGGTTTTTTAAAGTGAAGAGTGTATGAGTGAGCGAGAAAGAGTAAAAGGAAAAGAAAGGGCTTATAGCATTGTAACTAAAAGTCTCAAACCCTTGATAAGAAAACACTATGTGCTCTGCTACTATTTACTGTTCTCAGAATAGCAAATATAGAAATACTAATATTAACACCACTACTACTACTACTAACAATAGAAAATATAGAAATTTTTTACTGTGTACCAGGCATTGTTCCATGGCTTCTACATGTAACTCAGTCCTCACAACTGCCACGTGAGGTCCTTAACCCTATTTTATATCTGGGTAAGTTAGAGCTCAGAAATAAAGTGAAGGGCTCAGAATTCTAACCTAGGAAGTCGCCTTAACTATTAGACATGCTGCTTCCGATATATTGCTTCGAGACAAAACCAAAACTGTAACATGCACTTAATCTGTTCACCCACAGATGCACTCTTCATCCAGAAGAAGGCAGTGGAGAGCATGGTGAACTGTACAGACTGCAGCCACACTCCAGCTCTGGCAACAATAAGAATAAGTGGCTTTTCCTTGGGCAAATCATATACTTTCTAAGCTCATATAATCTCTAAACTAAGATTAGTTTCCTTATCTGTGTAATAGGTCAGAGAATACCTATCTCAAAAGGTTATTTGAGGGACTAAATAACATAATATTTGAAAAGTCAAAAGAATGGTAGTCATTACACTTCCTGACAATTACTGTTGCATTAGATAGAAACTAAGAAGAACTTCTGTGTTGTATTCTGCATAAGCTAATATGGGTCATCTCATTTTTTTAGGGGAAATCACCCAATGTGTGGGAGGATGATGATGGAGAGGAGGTGTGCAGAGAAGGAGTTAACAGCCCACCGTAAGTGTATAGGGAGATGCTTGTGTCCTAGGCACCTGGGTAAGTGGAGAGAAGTATGGTGGGGGCAGAAGAAGACAGGGAAGGAGTCCAGGATGACTTCTGATGCTCAGCTTAGGAGGACTGAGGGAGGCTGGGAAATGGAGCCACTCAGGGTGGCAGCTCAGTAGGCTCCAGTCTCTGAGTGAAAGCTCCCATATCCCTTGCTTTCTCTACTTTGGCTATCCAAATCTAGGAATAGAACAGGTTCACATGGGGGAGGGAGACGTGTGAGAATGGACAGCAAGCGAGAATCAGAGCAAAGCACAGACAGCCTGGCCAGCAGCCGCAGAGGTCCAGGTTCAGCTCTACCGTGCAGACGACTGCGGGGAGATCTATGTGTTTTATAATTAGCACATGATAAGAGGAATGCTTTCTTCCATTTTGGCACGAGGTTCTGGAATGTACAGTCACAATCCTGGTATGCTATCAAAAGATTTTGTATCCCAAACCTTCTACTATTGTGTCACTGGTATGGCGGCTTGTGGGATAGTCTGGTAGGAAGCAAAAACCAGTACCTTTTTGATAACAATGAAAATCCTTGGATTTATATCCTATGACATGATGTTAGGGGCATTGTTTAGCACTTGGCATTGCTCTGAATACCGAGGGCAGAAGACCAAAGGAAAAAGTCTACTTTGAAAGCTCTCTCAGAACATATCTGAGGGAATTTGCTGGTTAATGCAAATACATGTCCAAACAAGTACTGGTTTACGTAGGGAGTACACAGAGCTGGCAAGCGTCACTTGGCATGAAGAGCGTGAGTAATGCTTCATTTTAATGAGGGATCTTGGGGGTCTATAATGAAGGGTACGTGGTATTTCCCATGTGTCTCTTTGAAACGTGCACTGAATGTACCCACAGTGGAAGAAAAGCCATTGGAAAGTATATATTTCCCAAAACTTCTGGGGCTCTGTAAGATTCAGATAATTAAAAAGAAACTTTTTAAACATTTATTCATTTTTGAGAGACAGAGCATGAGTGGGGGAGGGGCAGAGAGAGAGGGAGACATAGAACCTGAAGTAGGCTCCAGGCTCTGAGCACAGAGCCCGATGTTGGGCTGGAACCCGCAAACTGTGAGATCATGACCTGAACCAAAGTTGGACACTCAACCGACTGAGCCACCCAGGCGCTCCCAGATTCAGGTAATTTAATTGCAGACAAATGAATTCACAGAAATACATTCAGAGATCTCAGAATAAAAATCTTCCCTTCCCAGAGGTAACCATATATGAGTACACCGTAATGAGATTATATTTGGGAAGGCTAAGGGGGTTTTTGATTCTTAATGATTTTGATTTTTAAATGAACGTATCCTTGGAATAATTCATGCTTCCCTACACGACTCTTCTGAAAGATAAGAGTCATTTAAATATCAAGTTAATACATATCAAGTAAATATATTTAGTTTTAAGACATAATTTCAGTCACACTTCACCTGTGAGCCCTGATCATCTGGACCTTTTCTATCAGAGAAAATCAATACTTAACACTTTGGGTGGAAACAAAAGATCTAGGAAGTGACTAGGAAAACAAACATTCCCCAGTCTTTGACTAGTCAATGAAATGGCAGATGGAGTGAATGTTACTGCATGTTTGTCCTGGGGTCTATTGTCTGGATGTTCCCTTAGATCCAACCACCAGGTAGGACTTCCTAGAAACAAATTCCCCTTCTGGTCAGATCTGGGGCGTTATGTGGTCATTCATGCAAAGTATGTGAAGCACTGTACTGACCTTTATTTTGTATTTCTGAGTTGGCTGGAGCAAAACGCTCCATGGTTGCCTGGGCCTCCCAAAGCGCTCAGGGATTCTGGAGGGATTAAGTACAGTTCTGGGGTGTTTGGGAGAACTTGTTCAGTCCTTCAGTCTTAAAGGAAAGGATGGTGACCCAGAACTCAGGAAGAGAGTCCCAAGAGGCAGAAATGCTGGCAGGAGGGACCTCTTCTGTGTACACTAATATATCAAAGAGGACTTGGAATTCTAAAGAGAAGTGAGAAATTCTCTGTCTTAAAAGGAATAATTTTGAAACATTAAAACATGGTAAGAACTGAAATTAATGTGAAGTAAACTTAACAGGCAACTGTACTATTATCAGATTAATGTGGCACCACCCACTTGGGACCTATTCGTGCCCCAGAGGCCAAGTGGAGATTTCTTGTGATTTATTTATCCCAATTTGAAAAAACAAAACCCTTCAATGCATGCTATAATCACTAATTGCAAGACAGGTTCTAAACTGACTCAGGAAAATGTCCATTTTCCCTCGTTTCCTCTGAAGTTTAAGGTCACTCCTCTGAAGAGGCCATTTCTTCTGTTCTCATTTGCATTTGCTCACCAACAACAGCAACAACAACAAAAAAATCCCAAGCAAAAAGCCCTTAAGCAATAAAATCGCTGTCCAAGAAAAACATTTAGTTTGAAAAAGAGTTGAAAAATGTAGCCTTGGAAGAACCATTGCTTACATGGGATTGTTCAACAAATTCCTGTTGTGTGAGGTTTGGCATATACTTTCTAAAAATATAAGCATCTGGGGAAATGAGACAAAGCCCAGGTCCTGGACCAAATGAGGCACGCAGTGTGAATCTGTTAGTGATTATATCCATAATGAAATATGTGCCCAAATTTAGCAGTGCAAAATCTAATACAATACGAAAGCCCAGCAGGCACTGTCCTTACCATAATATATAGCCAACAGAGAAGGTACATATGGCGGCGAGTCCGCTGTTCCTGCTGGGATACGCATGGTGTGATGTCCTCATCTCAATTAATATAAAGGGCAAAACTGTTGTGTGCTGAAAAAGAACAGAGAACAGGTGACACAGATTCTTATCGCCCCTCAATGGTTGTTTTGTCTCTAGTAGGAGAATGGATAGTGCAGATTCCTAGCAAAAGCACCACAGCAGACAGCAGCTGGGTATGGCTCACCTAAGAGGTAGGAGGGATGGGAAAGCAAGTGGTGCATTGGTCACTCCATTGGCATTTTTCTCCTGTGTTTGAATTTTTAAAATTTTATTTTATTATGATTGTTATAGGAAATTTCAATAATATTGAAGGATGTATTAGAACATAAGAAAGGAATAAAAATAACTACTTTAGTATTTTGGCCTCTTTTTTGCCCTCTCCTTGTTCATATTATTTATACATAGTTAACATTGTGCTGTGCACACAACCTTGTTTTGGACTGTAGCATGAGAATTTTTGATATGCCACTTTAGAAATCCTCCTAGAATATCAACCTTGACCATAGCTGCTTAAAACTCCATTTTGTGGATATACTAAAATTTATTTGACTCATTCCTGTTCTTGGACATTAAGTAGTATAAGATCTTCAAGTTTTCATTTATGAAAAATGTCATGATGAATATCTTTTGTAGAATTCTTTGAATGTCTGAAGGTTAAATTATTTTCTTATGGTTAAAGTCTATGAAGATTTTAGGACTGTTGATACATAATGCCAAATTATGTGTGTACCAGCAGCAGGTTAGGAAACGAAGCCAAATTAGCTTCCAGAAAGGATGTACTGGTTTGTAACAGCAGTACATGTATTTAGATATGATGTTTGAAGTCAGACTCCAAAGAAGCTTGGTAGGACCTTCCCATTTGTTGTTTGGATGCAGTGGCCACTCGGATGCTCAGTTTAGTGGGCCAAGATGTGGATGAAATTTGGTAACAAGAAAGGAAAATCAGCTTGTCTTGGTATTGAAATTTGATAGCCAGGTATATAAGGGACAAAGATCTTAGGTAAAATTGGGTTAGGGTATAGATTTGCCTTTCAAAACGGGAGTTTCTCAAGAGTAAGAAGATGGCAGAACTGAGAACTGAACCACCAGTAAGTTTGAATTCTGTTTAGTACCTCCTAAGGGCCATGAAAGAATCTTTGCTCCTCTCTTGCTGTATTGTTTGCATATTCAAAGAAAATGCAGGAAATTGAATGTTATAATTTTCAAAATCTAATAGGTATCATGGCAAAATGGAACCAGGTGGCAGGAAGAGACACGCTGGTGATATCAAAGTGAACATCTTTGAAGCAACATATTGTTTATATTTATAGAGAAAACAGAAATACAGGATTTTAAAAGAAAATACTGATAGTAGAAATTCTTTGCTTTAAGTGTCCTCCTCTAGATAACTGTTCTGACTGACAATATATTAGTAATTAGAGAATAGTATCCCTAGAATGTCGGGTGGGTGATTCCACAGTTGGGTAACTTTATATTTTTTTACTCTCTGCTTCTCTATTGTTGTTTTCAAACAGTATAATTAGCACTGAAGGGAACCATGCAAAATGTACATGTGTGTTGATACAGAGACAGTATGTATTTTAAAGATCTATTTTATTGCTTTTTTTTTTTCACTATAATCCAGTCACCTCAGATGACATTGGCCTGAAGTTTCACCGATTTGAAACACCAAAACTAGTTTTACAATGGTGCATTCATGTGTAAAATTCAAATGTATAGCTAATAACAAGGCCAAGTCTTGTCAAATCTCACACAGAAAAAAAAAAATCCCTGCAAATCAAACATTTACACCGAAGATATTGCTGACTCGGATGGCCTGTGTGGGTTATAGAATGGCGACAATATATTATTTTTGACTTGTGAATATTAAAAAGTGTTTAAATTCTACCTCTTCATCCATTGTTCCAAACTGAGTATAAAATCATCCACATTTCTATATTATATAAGTTCAAGTAACTAATCTGAGTATTCTTACTTATCTGGTTGTCATTATTTTACCTAGCCTACTTGCTGATTATCAGATGTCACACCTGGAAGGGTTAGGATGTACTCTGATGATGCCAGACAGAAAATCTCTTTGAAAAGTGAAGATCTTTCTAGATCACTTCATTAATGGCATCATCACCGCTAAAAAGGAGCTACTCATTCCATCAATGACATCATCAATAACAGAAGATCTTTTTGAGGCCAGCTGTGCCTGTGCCAATTGTGCCAGGGGCAAATCTCAGGGTAACAACTTATTCAGAATTTTCAGGCACTAAAGAATATATATCTCCCTCTCTAAAAGTCTATAATGCAAATTATATTTACTGTTAAACAGTATATATTAACAAAAGTAAAAGTAGTACAAATATTTATAGAAAATATAGACGTTGCTCTGCGGGTTGGTAAGGTTTTATAAACTAAAAAAATGGGAAAAATCTGTAAATGGGCTTGCTGAATCTCTAAGTAACCTTTAGCAGCCCAATTGTTACCCAAAATCTGGGGCAGCCAGAGGGATAATTATTTTAGAACTACAGGTACAAGAAATCCAGTTCTAATCCACTTCCATGCAACACTCTGCTTGAATGACTTAAGAACTAGGAAGGAAATATTCAAATATTCAAGTCCATCCAAGACAACTTGCTGTACAAGAATGATAATCCTATGTTTTGTTCACCACGATATTTGTAGGAAAGAGCTTGACATATAGGAGATGCTCAATAAATATTTGTAGGGATAATTTAATCTTTGACACAATGGGTATTATTAACTTCATTTTGCAGATGAGGTAACAAAGACTCAGAAAAGGTAATTCTCTTGCCCAAGATCACAGAGCTGGAGAAAGGGTTCAAGACCAGTCCTGTCTCCAAATCCTAGGCTCCATTTTCTGTATTAGAATTATATATATATTTTTTTAATTTTTTTAACGTTTTTTTTTTTTTTATTTTTGAGACAGAGAGAGACAGAGCATGAACGGGGGAGGGGCAGAGAGAGAGGGAGACACAGAATCGGAAGCAGGCTCCAGGCTCTGAGCCATCAGCCCAGAGCCCGACGCGGGGCTCGAACTCATGGACTGTGAGATCGTGACCTGAGCTGAAGTCGGCCGCTTAACCGACTGAGCCACCCAGGCGCCCCAATTAGAATTATATTTTTAAAAGATATAGTTATGTAATCTTTGACTCAATAAACCTGTGGGAGTGCATGATTGAAGATCACTTATGTTGTCATTCAACTGGCCAGAACTCTTTTTTAGTTGAGCCTCAAAATAAAGAGGTCTTCACTATAAGGGATATATTTTGCCAAATGTATTCTTTCCTGTGGTATATAAGCATTCTGAATAATAATAATAAAACCAGCTGGCATAAAGTCAGGAATTTTCAGTGGTGTGATGATAAAGATGGCTGGAGGCAGCTCTTTCGTCTTGGCCTAGAAGAGGTCAAGGTGCAACTTTCTTGGTTATCCCACTCTGGGTTGATCTGGTACCTGCTGCCTCCACCACGTCTCTGAAACTCCACCCCAATGGGATCAAAGTCACAGACCTTAAGTGCATGAGTTGGGAAGTCGATGCCACGTCTGCCCCAGCTGCCAAGACTGGACCCTGGGTCTGTCACCCAAAAAGGCAATGATGGGATGATGACATCCCAAGGCAACAGGTGACTGGAAGGGTCTAAGAATGACAGTGAAACTGACCATTCTGAATAGACAGACCCAGATTAAGTAGTACCTTCTGCCTCTCCCCCCCAGTGTCAAAGGCCCCCAGGGACCAGAGACAGAGAGAAGCAAAAGCCCATCAAGCACAGTGGAAGTATCACTTTTGATGAGATGGCCAACACTGCCTGACAGATGCAGTACCGATCTTTATAGTCAGAGAGCTCTCTAGAGCCAGTAAAGAGAACCTGGGGACTTCTCAGTGTGTGGGATGCAGTGTTGATGGCCATCATTTTCATGACATCATAGATGATACTAACAGTGGTACAGTGGAATGCCCAGCTACTTAAGAAGTACAAAGGAAAATATTTCAATAAAGGATCATTTGACAACTGAAAAAAAAAGAGTATACTCAGGAATGATCTGTTTCTATTTCTCAAAAACAAATACCTTTTAAAGTTTTCTCAGGTATAGACACACACTGGATAAACAAAGAAAGAGATAAAGTCTGGTTGCCAGCGGTGGCTCTTAAGAATTATATTAGACTGTTTTTCTATAGTGCATTGTCAACAGAACAATTGCCCGCAGCTGAGTTGCTGAGATTTGACTCCTTCCTTCCTCCCTCCCTTCCTTTCTTTCTTTCTTTCTTTCTTTCTTTCTTTCTTTCTTTTTCTTTTTTCTTTCTTTTTCTTTCTCTTTTTCTTTTTTCTTTCTTTCTTTCTTTCTTTCTTTCTTTCTTTCTTTCTTTCTTTCTTTCCTTTTTTAAAGCACTATGTAAGATGAAGAGTTGACAGCACAAGAAATAAACCTTTGATCTAATCTATAAACTCTATCCTGGAAAGCACTGCTCTATTATGTAAGTAGTTATCCTATCCCAAGCGCAAGTTTCCATTGCTGCTAATTTTGTTGAGACTGTGATCAGAAAATTGTGTCCAAAAAGGGAAGTCTAAATCTATCTTGGGTTTTTGCATCCCTTTTGTTTTTTTCAAATGGGGTTCAGATGGGTTCTCTTTATGGAACGGTGATTATCACCATGAACTTTACCCCAAGATAAAGGTCAGCCTGCAGAAAGGATCCCCCAGGTGTTGTCTGTCACCCATGACTTAATTATGACGTGAAGGCGATGGGCTAAGACAAAGGCTTTTGGAGGAGAGGCTCCAAGGAAGAAGTTAGTGTAATTAAGTGGAAACTAGCATTTGGACCCTGGGTCCTGATTGTGTCTTACCACACTATAAGACTTCAAGCAGGTTCTTGTACATTTGTGAAGCTCAGTGTATATATGTATATATTTTGGGGGGTAAAATGAGAAGGTTGCATTAAACTAGTGCACCACAAACTTCAGTCATGATGAGCTAGAATTTTAAGCTTTGCTATATCACATACGAGGGCTCACCGAGGCATTAGGCATAGTAGACACAGTA